AAAAAAAACGAAAAAGAAAAAATGAGACTACAAGAATTTACCAGAATTTCTGCTCCTAATTGATTTCAAGGAAAAAAAAAACCAGTATTTGATTCGTCTATGCTCCTAAGAACATTAAAAATTGCCAATTTATATCAAGAATTCATCAATGGAACCCAAATCAAGAACTACTCATTAGAACATATATCCAGAATTAATCATTATAACCGAAATAAAGAATTGCCCATTAGAACTCAAATAAAAACTTATCACAGAATCCCCAAATCAATAACCCATCTCAACCTTGACCAGAAATTGTTAAAATTAAAAACCCATTGCAGAACCCCAATTCGAAAATCACAACCCAGATTTAGAACGAAACATAAACACCGCTATGGATACACCTACCTGATTGGCATAGAATTCTTGCAAGCTCAACTCGCGATGGCAGCTCTTCCTTCGTCTTGGAAGGGAGGGCTCTTCGTCTTCTTCGAGCACTCCACAAACTCAGCCATCGCTTGTTTTATTTTTCCAGTAGGGAGCTTCCACACTCCCGTCCCTCGATACTGTCCACCCTTTCCTTGGACTACTAGCACCTAGCATTGAAATTTCACAAAGCCAAAAATTACAGCCAAGACAACAACATCATGGAAAACAATGAATATGGTCTCAAGCACTATAACAACGGTCAACTGAACATTAAAGTAAAAGGATCACACATAACTTTTTAGACATTATAAGCCAATCGTAGTAGGAGTATGTAAGTCCAGATAATCAAATAAAACTTTTTAGACTTTTACCCTGCATGCCATACACCCGCTTACTCAGCTGAACTGTTCTAGGGAGGGATGGAACATAAACACGCGCGCACACACATGAAGAGTGCAAGAAGTGAAAACTACTGTAAATTGATAGTTAATGTGAAGCAGCAAAGGCTTAGTGCTAAATGTAGAGGTTGGAAAACCTACTCTACCGCAAATTAATTATGTTAGTGAAGGCTGACAGTTTTGGCTTCCAATTCTCTGTAAACCAAATTGCCCATCTTAAGGAACACAAAACTAAATAATACTATGAGGCATACAGCCCATGCATTATTTAATATCAGAATATGAAATTGTCCCTGTATTTTTTTTTCTCTTCATGCCCATTAGAACTCAATTCAGATGTCATACACATGATATTCCAAAATTTTAAAAAACCATTACAAATCTGGAGGAGTGATCTTCAAACCCATTAAAACCATATCAGAACTCATCCCAGAAGTCCAAATCGAAGAACCATGGCTCAGATATTGAAAGAATCAGAACCAATGATAACATACCTCTGTCGCAGACGATGGTGGGTCTTCTTCTTCAATTGACGATGGTGGGTCTTCTTCTTCAACTGACGATGGTGAGTCTTCTTCTTCACATCGTTTGGTCTGCGTGAAAGGTCTCCAAGCGTTGGAGGAAGAAGAAAGACGTTTGGTTTCCCAACGTACGTCCTTCCCAAGCGTAAGTGGAGTTTGTGGTGGGTCAGGAGTTTTCAAACGGGTTAAAACATTTAAAAGAATCACAGCCACACAAGCTCATTAAAAGAGATCCAACGGTTGACCGCCCCATCCCTCAAATAACACTATTTGAGGGATCCCTCAACTGAAGGGGACTGTATATATGTATATATATACGTTTAACTATTTTGAAGCTATCCTTACATATTTCATTTTATAAGCTTATGTTTCGAGAATGGGTTTGGTTGGAGTCAAAAGATTTGACTTGGATATTATTATTTTATAATAGGGGTGTGAGAGTACTTCAATTTCACATTGGTTACGTGTGAATAGTTTCAATTGCATGTTTTTAGCATCATTTTCCAAATGGTGGGGTTAGTATCTTGTCTTCAATTACAACAAAACTTTATTTTTGTCAACTCACAAGTTTTCTGTTTTGTGCCCCCCCAGGCAATAACTAGACCTGAACCAAGTTGCAAAGCCAAGACTTGAACTGTCGAGCCCCGAACTCTTGTAGGATAACTTTTATTTGTCTTAATTTCCGTTGAACTTTATTTTTGCTTGTAAACTGAATTTCTCTAGATTTGCTCTGTTATTGCCCATGCTAGGGTTGGATGTAAGGTCAGAGGCCTATTATGTAAATTATGTGTTTCTACATTGTGCATGCTATTGTTGGGATTATTTACTGTTATTGACAGGTTGAAAATTTGGGAAAGTCTATTTTTCAGGGGAGACTCTGCCTTAATTTCTGCAGAAAGTCTCGACCCTCTTTGCTTTTGATTTGGAGAAGAGGATATGGTTAGTAAGTGAGCCCAACATCAGTTTCATGCCAGAAATACCACAAAATCCGTCACGGGTTTCGAGGAATTAGGGGTGGGTCCTGTCATTTTTTATAATTTTATTTATTTATTATGAGGATTATAAATATTTATTTTCAGGTTTTATTTCTATATTGAATGCCTTAATTTTTTAGTTTAATGTGGTGGATGTTACATGTTCTTAGATGCCTATAAAAGGTCACTCATGATCCTTCTCATTTGACAAACTACCAAACTACTGCATGATACAACCACGAACACAAATACTACCACAATACCACATACCACAATCTTATTCTCTAATCTTCTACCTTTCATATACTTTATATAATTATATTATTAGTTTTGGGCAACGACTTTTTGACGTGGAGACTTATATCCAACTGTGCACGTGCTCATAGCGAACTTAAGCATGTGTATTGAGGGTCGTATCTTGGAGTCTTGTAGACCATCAATACCTGCACGTGGGGAGGCTACAAAGGTTTTAGGATAGCGTCTTTGACATGTTTCACCCTAAAACCAGGCTTGCTTTCATAATCTTAATTTATTCTACTCTTATTTACCTATTATTTGTTTATTTAATTTTACTTTACCTTAAAATAGTTTCTAATTTATTGTATATATTATTTATATTATAAGGGTTTTGTTTTTGGCTTTTACGGAAAGAGGAAATTTATAATTTTTATAACAATCTAAAGCATTTTTATGTTAATATGTGAAGAAATGTCTTGCTTCGATTATAAGAGAAGTGTATATGTCATATGTACTATTAGATATCAAGTCCAATGTTGTTTAATTAATTTGTAGTTAATATATTTAATTAATTAAGGACCCAAGTAATTTCCCTAAAATGAAAAATATCACATAAGAGGTGTAGCCATGTTGGGGCTATGAGTCTCTTTGGTTTGCTGGAGAGGAAGTGGTGCGGTGTCCTTGTTTCTGTGTTTATTTTAGTCTAATAATTCTCAGAAACTCAATAGGGAGTTTGCTGCTGTATGTATTTAGTGTTCAACTTTTAAATGTGGATTTGCCGTTACTGCCGTTGCGCGGTGGATCTATATTGTAGGTTCGAGTATATATGCTTCTTGTCTGCCGAATTGGGGTTTTTAGGTTTTTCTGACATGCGGAATTCTCTCAATATCAAACTAATTTATTTTTGTGTTTGGTTACTGGAGATGTTGTACTCATATTTGGCATTGCGACTACTTTGTACTTTTTTCTGTGTTATGAGCCGGTCCGGCCCTCAGGCCATGGACTGGCCCAATCCATTAGACCTCATTTTTTGATCCCAGTCAGACCCAAGTTTTCGTGCAGTGCCGAGCACGCCCCATTAATATTCGTGCTCATGCCATATCGTGTCGTGCTGGATCAGCCTGCCCCGTATGACACCTCTAGTATGTACTACACATTGTAAGAGCATCCACAGTTGGGGGGTGATGAGATGTATATTAAATATACACCCCGAGTGATCGGAATCACCCACAAAAGGGGGGTGTAAATGAATGTATATTTACATCACCACCATGAGATATAAATATAGATGCAATTGTACATCTATTTTTACATCTCTTGTAGGTGGGACCCAGGTGGAAAAAAGAGACGAAAAATGGAGCAAATCAATTATACATCTTAAATTTACAATGTTTCCCATTGGAGCAAAAAACGTATTTACACCCCCCAGAAGTGTAAATGGGATGTAAAAGGCTTTACACCCCCAAAAATACACCACCCCCCACACTGTATAACTAGGAACTTATTTACCCGAACATGAACGTAACAACGATGTGAGCGAGACAACAGAATAACACTTAGAGCATCCACAATGATGCTCTCTATTTTTTAGCTAAAATTTGGCTAAGAATATAAGAAAGCTATTTTAGGAGCTCTCTAAAAAATTTCAACTCCAACCGTACTCCCTAATTTGAAGAATCATAAATGATATAACTCTTTTTTGATTGGTCCATCTCTATTAAAAAATAAAATAAAAAATGGTTAGCATTAAATAAAGGTTTGAAAAACTCATTAAATAAAGTAGCATTAAATTATAGGGAGCAACTAGGAGTCCTTTCTCTCTCCTCAGATTTAGGAGCTCCTATAGGACTCCCTATTTTAGGAGGTGGATAGAGAGCGTGGTTGGAGTTGCATTTTTATCATTCCTCCCTAAAATTTGTCTAAGGAGGTGGTTTAGGGAGCCCATTGT